TTGGAAAGATTTTGAAACACAATAAAAATGAAAGTCAAACAGAAATAAATCTTTTGGTACTTGGAGTTTGCTATGTGTTGGAATCAGACAAGAATGTTGGGCATTTTTAAAGGATTATCTTTCTTTGATATGGAAAAGTGAAATAAAGATAGATTTTAAAAAGTACACCTGAAATTTACAAAAACAAAACCACTTTAAGTATTGAATATATTGTCAATTCTCCCATTATTATCAGTAAAAATAATATGATTTTATCATACAAATGAAAGTAAAAAGAAGTTACTTTTAAACTTCCAGAGCAGACAAAAGAGATATGCATCTCACAAAATTAATTATAATTCTTTTAGTTTTCCAAAAAGTGAGGAAAAGTACAAAATAATTACCAAGTATAATATAGTCAAAAACAATAGATGCACACTAGAAACCACTATTTAACATTTTTGAAATACCCACAGTGCTTTTAATAAATCAGCACAATAAAGAGTAAATAGAAGAACAACCAAAAAAAAAAAATTGCATAAAATTGTCTGGAATTCTCACTTCACAAGAATTCTCCATCTTAACAACTCTTTCTGTCAGGGACTGATTTTCTAGGGCTCTCAACCTGAAAACCATGTGTCCTTCTACGTAATGGCTCCATCTGTACTGTGCCCAGGGTTGCTAGCATTATAATCACAGAAGACTTTCTCTTCTTTCCTCTCTCCTGGGAATTTTGATAGACTAGTTTGAAGGTGTTTTCTTTCCCCCTAACTCTCTTTCCACTTATCCCACTGGGAGCCGGTTTTCGGACCTTGCCTCTCAGGCCCTGTCATGCACAAGCTCTGAATCGGAGACTTGAGCTGTGATTGCATCTCATGCCTAGTAGTCTTTTTGTCTCCTTTTTTCTGACACATAATTTTTACACACAAATCAATTAGCACACGGATGTTCAAGAAGGACACAGATACATTAATCTACAGAGTAGAATTGCATTTCCTCCGCATTTAGTGTTTCACCACAAGGAGTTGGCTGGTAACCTGCAGGCTCTCAGGAGGACTCATTTTTGTGTTGCATCCAGTCACAAGCAAAATGCCTCCTCGGGCATAATATATCTTGTACATATTATGTCTTGTATATATCCCATATCACCTATTATTGTTGAAAGGAACTTCAAGTCCTCAATCTATGTATATTAATTTTTTATATAACAATAATGCATCCTAAGCAGAGGTCAAATTTCAAGTTTTCTAACAGAGACAAAAAATGTACACCAATCTTTCTCATTCTCCCAACAGACCCCACATGCAAAGCAGGCAACAGAAGGGACAAAGCTCCAGAGCCCACAGAAGTTAAACCTATGGCAGTGACACTGTGATGCTAGTTCACTCAAACAATGACCAATCCAATGACCTTAGGCTTCTTGGGCCCATGTCACTAACCTGTTGAAATAATCATCGAGGATATTTGTTGGACTGTAAGATGGCTATTTCCAGCAACTATTTCCTACTCCATGACCTTGATGGATGAACAACCTAATACCACTTCAATCTCAAATTTCTCCCCCTTCCAAAATATATCTTTCCAGTCTGTAAGATCAGGAATCAATGTAAAATTTCTTTCTAAACTGTTCTCTTTCTCCAGATTTTCTGGATAGGGGGAACTTCAAAGTTCTCTAGCCTCTTAGTTTCTATGGAGGGAGACAAAAACATTAGATCATCTGCTGGACTCTTTCTGGAACAAGGCTTTGTTTTCAGAATTAAGGTATGCAATAGTGAAACACAGAAGATACACACACACACACACACACACACACACACACACCCCTCAACCATTACTGGTCAAATTGGCCTCTTCTTTCCTAAGACAGAAAGAAGTTTCCATCTGTCTTAGATCTGCAAGTAATCTATTTCTATCAGATTTAAGAGATTTGGAAAAGAGAGAAAATTCCTTTAAGCAAGAAAAATGAAAGCCATTTCTGGAACTATAAAAAGATCATATCCACGAAGACGTGGCTGACATATGATTATGATATGATATATGATATGATATGACATGGACACTGTCCAGAGGCCGAGTACAGGTAGCCTGAAAGATTGAAAAACACAAATCCAGAAGGGTCCCTGGTGGCTCTAGACTTGGGGAGGAGCAGTTCCAGTCCATACTTATCCCAAGACAGCCTGTTAACTTTTAGCAGTTCTCCAATTCATCTTGAGGTTTGGTCCCAGTCGGGGATTTGGGTCAGATCCCCTAAAACTATGCAGCCTTCCTACCTCACACCATACCCTCCACCTCTGTAGGCCTGAATTCCATATTAGCCCCACAGAGGGCTTTTTCTGGGGCTTCCCAGGGGATGCTAGTGGTAAAGAATCCTGCCAATGCAGGAGACATAAGAGATGCGGGTTTGATCCCTGGATGGGGAATATCCCCTGAAGAAGGACATGGCAACCCACTATAGTATTCTTGCCTGGAGAATCCCCATGGACAGAGAAGCCTGACAAACTACAGTCCACAGGGTCACTACAGTCCATGGGGTCACAAAGAGTTGGATGTGACTGAAGCAACATAGCACGCAGGCACATACAGGCTTTCTCTGGAAAGGGAGTAGTGACTTTTGGCTGGGCTGGGCTTGCCAGAATCATGGGAACCACAGCACATCCCACATTCCTAAGTCTGGAGTCTTAACAGTCTCCTATGTAGAGGCTAGTCCAGAGCCAGAGTATCTGACCAAATTGCATTATTTCCCTGTATAATTTCTAGTTTCAAACACAAAAAGAAAAAAAAAAAAGCAAGGGAGAAAGTCTAGGCTCTTNTATTTATCTTTCTTTGACTTATTTCACTAAGCATAATATTCTCTAGGTCCATCCACATTGCTGCAAATGGCAAAATTTCATTTTTTGTGGTTGAATAATATTCCATTATATATATATATATATATATATATATATAAAACACACATCTTCTTAATCCAATCACCTGGTCATGGACAACTTGGTTTGCTTCCACATGTTGACTATCATAAACAATGCTATTATGAACAATGGGGTACATGTATCTTTTCCAATTAGTATTTTAATTTTTTTCCATATATATACCAAAGAACGGAATTGATAGATCATATGGTAACTCTGTGTCGAAAAAGTCTATTGATGTCATTTTTACAACAGCATTACTTTTTAAATAAGGTATGTACATATTTCTTTGGCCTTTTTTGGGCTTCCCTGGTAGCTCAGTCAGTAAAGAAACCGCTGCAGTGCCGGAGATCCAGGTTCAATCCCTGGGTCAGGAAGATCCCCTGGAGAAGGAAGTGGCAGCCCACTGCAGTATTCTTGCCTGGAGAATCCTATAGACACAGGAGCCCGGTGGGCCACAGTCCATGGGGTCGCAAGAGTCGGACATGACTTAGCGACTAAACCCCCACCACCATGGTAACTATCTTTACATTTTTGAGGAAACTCTATACTGTTTTTCATAGTGGCAGCACCAATTTACACTTCCACCAACACTGTACAAAGGTTCCTTTTTCTCCACTTCCTTACCAACATTTGTTCCTTGTAAACTTTTTATGATAGCCATTCTAACAGGTGTGAAATGATACCTCATTGAAATACATGTTATTTTAAATTATTGAGCATTGGGAGTTGCTATAGCAATATAATTTGGTAGAAACACAACAACCTAACCAAAACATCATCTCCTTATAGAAAAGAAATATTGGGACACTACTAACACTATGGGGAATGTTACTACAATCCAACACAGAAGAAATATGAGAATATATTGATTATACAGTAGCATATGTATGTGGATATATATATTATTGATGCATGAGTGAGTGCACATGTGCTCAGTTGTGTTCGACTCTTTGCAACCCCATGGGCTATAGTACACCAGGCTCCCCATCCAGGGAATTTTCCAGGCAAGAATACTATAGTGGTTTGCCATTTCCTACTCCAGGAGATCTTCCTGACCCAAGAATCAAACCACATCTCTTGCATCTCCCGCACTGGCAGGAAAATTCTCTATAACCACTTATTAAAACAGACTTCTCACCCTANAAAAAAAAAAAAAAAAAAAAACCGCCTCAAATCAATTGGATAATCTGAATTCTTAAAATCAATTCTCAAAAATCTCAAAGAAACACACAGTTCCCGTGTCAAAAACGTACTTGACCCATTTGTCAGAAACACTTGTAGAGTTCCACTTCTTTTCTAAGATTGAGAACATTAATCACACTCAGTGCTGCAAAGGGGCTTCGTTTTGAGTGACCCAACAGACAAATAAATTAGGTGCCAATGGCTCTTTGTAATTGAGGAGGACCAGGCTGACCAAGGGGAGAAGACTAAATTAAAAATGGAACTGTTCAAGAAAAAGCAGCGTTTGGAGACCTGAAACAAACCAATAAAGCTGTCCCACACACTCTCATTTCCAAAAGTAAGGGTGAGCCAAGACATGTGTGTTTATTCGCTAATAAGAAGATGCAAACATCCCACATCTGATGGATTTCTTATGTGCTACAACCATAAAAATGTTTGTGTCTGCAATACACGTACGAGTGTTGAGCTCAAATGTGGCAGCTTATAAACCTGATCACACATCTTAAACCTAACAATCTACAAGAACGTTTCCCTTTGAAACAATGAAACTGGAAGGTTTTCTTCTTTATTGCCAGGACAAATTTCTTGCGGTTTCTCATTTAAGTATGTGAATAACTGTCCAGTTTTAATTTGCAGAGCTTTTAACTGGTGACTCAGTGAGGAATGATGTCATATATTATCCTCCAACGGCTGGTGTGGTTCCCTGTGTTTCTGTGGCTGACAGTACTCCGGGGTTTTCATCCTTTCGTCAGCCTCTTCCCAGCCAGCCCCAGGCAAACAGGCTCCCCAGCCCTGGATGAAACAGGAAGTCTGACAGCTTGAGTCTGCAGTGGGACCCCTAGTGTTTTCCCACTCCATGTCCTGGCAGCGTTCCCCAGAAATGCAAACACACACACACAGAGCTCCCATTGTTGCAGCCTTCTCCAGCCCACTGATCCTAATATGGAATGCAGCAGGAAACCCATGATTTCCTGACACTCGGCAAGCTGGAGGAAGCAAGGAAAAACTCCATTAAAAAAGCCCAGCTTTCCTCCATGTTAGATGTGAAGTGGGAAATGGGGAAGATTTAGCAAAATTCCACAGTGTCTTCAGTCAGACTTGGAGAACAGGGGACCAGAGTAAAACCCTCCAGCTGTTGAAATTTCTAGACTCCCAGGAAACCCCTAGAATTCAGTGAAGATGAGGATTTCTTAACTTGAACTGCTGGGGAAAGGGACAGATGCTTTTAATCACTCTCCCCAGTGCGTTACCTGTCCCGATCAGTATGGTAAGTGAGAGGGCATGTGCCAGCCACCTCGGACGAGTCCGCAGGATCCCAGCCACCCAAAGTAAGGCAGAGTGATCTCAAGCCTGCCGCGGGCTTCATGGGCTTTGGAAGAAGCGGGAGAAGCAACAACCACAGCACAGGCGGAGCAGCTGGAGCCGCGAGCATGAACTGCCAGGAGGGAAATGAGAGCAGCTGCGGCTGCGGTGGCCACGAGGAGAAAAAGATGCTCAAGTGCGTGGTGGTGGGGGACGGCGCCGTGGGCAAGACCTGCCTGCTGATGAGCTACGCCAACGACGCCTTCCCCGAGGAATACGTGCCCACTGTGTTCGATCACTACGCAGGTAAGAAAAGGGGGAAACCCTCCCCTGTGTACCGGACATACGGTGTGGGAGGTGACATCCCGGCTTCAGAGGGGCCTGGCTTATCTGCATTGTCAGTGCTGGGTGCAGGCCTGGCGGAAGCCAGGTAGCTGGGCATCACAGCAACCAAGGTCTTTGCTGTTGTTACAACAACTTGGATATCACTTTTATTGTGACACTTTTCTCCACTTAAACCAAATGAATAATGCTGGGGAAATACCCTGAACTGCCCTCTAGACTTTGGGGCTAGAGATGTTATTTAATATCTGTCCAAAGATTCATCAACTTTCTTCAATGTGAACATTATAAAATGTAATGTAATTGCATCACAGTTCTTTTTAACTTTTTATTTTGTATTGGGATATAGCTGATTAACAATGTGGTGCGTCACAATTCTCTTTTACAAAAGAAAACCCACTAGTTACACAAATGGTGAAAGAAGTGTTCTTGCCACTTCTCATATATTCACCCCATGCCATTTATAAATGAAATGCTTAAATTAGTAGCATTAGAACATTCATTTTTCCCTAACAATTGGTGCTGTCCTGATGTACTTTCATTTTCCTATGGAAGTAGATTGAAGAAAAACTATTCAAAGATTTTAAATATCTGTTAGGCAATCTGTATTTTGATTAAAAGAGAAGTTTTTAATCAATATGTTTTAAAAGTAAAAATAAAGATTAATATAAAATTTCTTAATTATTTCAACATATGTCCCAAAAGCACAAAATATGACATAAGATATTTTAAGGTCTGACAGTTAAGATACTGTAGTTACAACTTAATTCTTTTGGTTATATTGAGTGTTCCAATTTGTCATGCGATCGCTTATCTAATTGTTTCCACTTTGACTCTCATTTTTCTCTTAATCTCTAAAGTAAATCCTATTAAACTTCTTAAAAGCAAATTCATAAAATGCTTGAATTTACAATAGCCTAGTTTTTATAACTTTTTGGAATATGATGAACTGTTAATATCTGTCCAAAGATTCATCAACTTTCTTCAATGTGAACATTATAAAATGTAATGTAATTGCATCACAGTTCTTTTTAACTTTTTATTTTGTATTGGGATATAGCTGATTAACAATGTGGTGCGTCACAATTCTCTTTTACAAAAGAAAACCCACTAGTTACACAACTGGTGAAAGAAGTGTTCTTGCCACTTCTCATATATTCACCCCATGCCATTTATAAATGAAATGCTTAAATTAGTAGCCTTAGAACATTCATTTTTCCCTAACAATTGGTGCTGTCCTGATGTACTTTCATTTTCCTATGGAAGTAGATTGAAGAAAAACTATTCAAAGATTTTAAATATCTGTTAGGCAATCTGTATTTTGATTAAAAGAGAAGTTTTTAATCAATATGTTTTAAAAGTAAAAATAAAGATTAATATAAAATTTCTTAATTATTTCAACATATGTCCCAAAAGCACAAAATATGACATAAGATATTTTAAGGTCTGACAGTTAAGATACTGTAGTTACAACTTCATTCTTTTGGTTATATTGAGTGTTCCAATTTGTCATGCGATCGCTTATCTAATTGTTTCCACTTTGACTCTCATTTTTCTCTTAATCTCTAAAGTAAATCCTATTAAACTTCTTAAAAGCAAATTCATAAAATGCTTGAATTTACAATAGCCTAGTTTTTATAACTTTTTGGAATATGATGAACTGTGTGATCACTATAAGATCAGCTTGAGTTACCCGAGATTTGAGATTTTGTGATAGGGAAATTTCTCTTCTTCACTTTGGCTTTGGGTCCAGGGCAGCGGAGGGGAAATAGCCCACAGGAAACCTGTTTGAGTGCTGGCTTTGCTGTGGGGCTATTTGAAATCCTTTCTGTAGGAAGTAGCTTCTTTTCCAGAACTAAACAATCACCTACGTCTCCTCCTCCTGCTAGATGTACCTGATTTATGACACTATTACATAGCAGACAGGGAGAAAACCACAGTGAAAATAGTATCCATTCTCTAGCAGGTTTTTCTATATTTGTAGAAATTAAGAGCAAATTTGAATGCTAATTCCCTTAAGCTTTTCTGAAATTATAGTGACTGTGCCCAGAGAAGGGTTTCCCTGGTGGCTCAGACGGTAAAGAATCTGCTTGCATGTAGGAGACCTGGGTTTGATCCCTGGATTGGGAAAATCCCCTGGAGAAGAGAATGGCAACCCACGCCAGTATTCTTGCCTGGGAAACCCCATGGACAGACAAGCCTGGTGGGCTACAGTCCATGGGGTCACAAAGAGTCAGACATGACTGAGCAACTAAGCAGACACACACATACAAGCCCAGAGAAGAACCTTTTAAAGAGAGCAGAAAGAAGAGAAGTGCACATAGACTTTCACCCTGAGGGGGGAAAAAAATCTAATTGTAAGATTAGGTCTGCAACTTAAGAAAATTATTAGGATCTCGACCTGTAAACATCTTAGCAAAGGTTATTTATTCTACATTCTCTTTCTGCCAGGCTAGGGAACTGGCAGATTGCTGTTTTTGTTCAGTCACTAAGTCTTGTCCAACTCTCTGTGACCTCTTGGACTGCAGCACAACAGGCTTCCATGTCCTTCACTATTTCCTGGAGTTTGCTCAGATTCATGTCCATTGAGTCAATGATGCCATCCAGCCATCTCATCCTCTGGTGTCCCCTACTCCTCCTGCCCTCAATCTTTCCCAGCACCAGGGTCTTTTCCAATGAGTTGGTTCTTGGCATCAGGTGGCCAGAGTATCAGAGCTTCACTTTCAGCATCAGTCCTTCCAATGAACATTCAGGGTTCTTTTTCTTTAGGATCTCCTTGCAGTCCAAAGGACTACCTAATCTCAAAAACTGCTAACAACAACAACAAAAAAAAAAACAGAACCCACAAGGTTTCGAGTACTTTTAAAAATTGCATATTCATGGGACTTCCCTAGTGGTTCAGTGGTTAAGAATCTGCCTTGGAATGAAGGGGACTCACTGGTTGGGGAGCTAAGATCACGCATGACGTGGCCAAATAAGCCCATGTGCCACAACTAGAGAGCCCGCAAGCTACACTGAAAGATCCCACATGCTGCAACTAAGAACCAATGCAGCCAAAATTGAAATAAGTAAATAAATAATTTTTTTATTACATATCCCATCTCCAACTCTTGGGTGAACCAGTTACAGCACAGTGTCAGAACTG